CCCCCGGGGGCTCGGGGCCGGCCCTGGCGCCCCGAAACACGAGGGGGACGTTTCCCAGTTCTGCAGGGTTTCAGCCCCAAAGCTCCTCTGCTCACTCGCGGCGCGCAAGCGGAGGGGGAGGGGGAGGCTTAGCGAGGGCTTGCCATCTCTCCCTCGACTCGCACTGTACAAAGCCATAAGCGGTTTTGCTCCTTTCTTCCACCCAACGTAGGTACGAAGAAGGGACTTTTTCTCTGAAACGTTCATGAAACACATTTTTCTAATACTTTTTTCCGAAACTGCTGGAAGTGCTTGAATCCCTTAAAAAAACAGCTCAAACGGAGGAGCTTATTTTTCCTACACATCGCAAAGCATGTCGAAAATTATTTTCCCCTTGGATTTAAGACGACAGAGATGGCTTCCTTCTCCCCTTCAGCCCTCGCCCATCCCCCCGCAATTGTTAATATAGATAGCACCGCACTTCGGGGGGAGGGGAAAGAAACGGGGCAAGAAAAGCTCAATTTCCCTATAATATCTACCGACCTCCCACCCTCTTACAATCATACTTGTAAGCAACCTTGGCTTCACTTTGACCACTGTTTCATGGTCGCTGCTTGCCGTTGTAATTTACATAGGCATGTGAGCACTCAAGCTTTTCCCGTGCCACCCAGCCTCCTCCCCTTTTAAAAATGCCGGCTACCTGGCTGCATCGGCAGCAATGCCTCTGGCCTTGGATGCAAACTTCAGGCTGCTCTGGCCTGGCTTATACCCCTGCACGGGCCTGCTGTCACTCATTGAGCCTCTGCCACTTGGCGTCCCTTGCAGGCGCCGCAAGTGTCCTGAGTATATCGCTGCATTTTGGGTAGGAAGTGGAGGCATTGGTGTGTCTAAAAGTCATCTGTACTGGTAGAATAGTGACAAAGTCAGTCACCCAGCCAGTTTTCTCGCCCCGGTTATATGCAGCATAAAGCTCTAATTTTGAGAAGATTTTGCATAGATTTAACGTGTGGCTGGTCAAATCCTTAGTTCCGCTAGTTGCCTGTGTTTTAGACACTAGAGGAAGGTGTGTTAGATAAAAGCTTAAAATTCATAATGCAGAAGGAAGGCATGATCCATTCTTTATAAGAACAAGAATTTCTGATGCGGATTATGCTGTGTTGTAATACCGTCCTTCTTGTTTCTCGCAGGATACAAACAAAATAACGAAATCAAACCTTTTTTCGCTCTTTCAAAATGAAATGTGATTTTGATTGTACGTCTCTTCACGCTGGGTTTGCACCACTGAAATCTGCTGTAGAGAAAACAAGTCTGGAAGAATCCTGCCCCTTGAATTATGAGGAAGGCTTTTGTAAAAGCTGTGCTGAAGAGCATCAGAAAATACTCCTTAGTGACTCATACCATGCGGCCACCAGAAATCTAGATCTTGAAGATGAAGGAAGACCTGTACATAACAAAGAAAACAAACAAGTAACTCAGAGACTTGATGAAGGTATCTATGAAATGGAGGCACTGGAAAACAGTAAATTTAATGAGGACAGTGGTTATTCCTCTATGTTAAGTAACCAATACGCTGATGCAATAGAACACGAGGATAGTATACCTTTGGCTGGGAATCTCTGTGGCACACCAAAGCATTGCCTCATGAAGAACCAAAACCAAGCACCGTTTTCAAAGAAGACTTTGTTGCCAGTAATCCATTATGAAGAAATGATTTGCTCAACTTTGAAAAAAAGTGGTAAAAGAAATCTCAAGTCTTGGGCTGCCGTAGACAGAATTGTTTTTAGGGGAAAGGTTGAACTTTGTAACCTAATTGGAAAGAAAATGGGATTAGATAGAATAGACATTCTTGCCGAACTCTTCCAAAAGAACCTGAAGCATATATTAGCAAACATTTTAAGGCATCTCGGTGAGATGGATTTAATACAGTAAGTATATTGATCTCATTGTATTTCATTGGGAAAGTAAACAACCTAATCAGATGGCTTAAGAATGTTTTAGATATGGGGCTTGTGACATTTACTCAATGGTTAGTATTATGTATTAATATATTAAAACATGAACTGTCAATGTAAGCCACGATATATATGGAGAACGTGTCTTTTCCCTAGAAGGCAAATTAAAGACTACAATTGTGAACGTATCCTGTCTTCTACATGAAAGAAAAAGATTACGTGATTATTCCCACTATTAAATAAAAACTTCTTCCCTTTCCTAGGAGGTAACTGATATGTTTGTATTGTCGTTGCAGTTTTGCCAAAGTCAGCACAACATGGCAGAAGATTCTACAAGAAGATAAATGGATTTTCCAAATGTATAGTAAAGCTGTGAAAAACCTTTCTGTAAGTTTCCACACTTGTTAGATATTTCAGGCGTAAACCGGCAGTGTCTTTCTGCTATTTCAGGACTCCTCCCAGCCTTAAGAGATCACAGAAGAGTTTCTTAGATTGAAAACATTGTCACGGGAGTGTCTGAGTTTGTTCTGTTTAGGATGCCCTGTCTCAGGTGTTGCTAGTCACTTCATTGTCTTTGGAGCCCGAGGAAGGTTGACTGAGAAGGTTACCCGAGGAGAGATGCAGATGTTCTCAAGAGCTTCCACATGTCCCACGTTACAGAGGAAGGCAGGAAGGAGAGGGGCAGTTCCAGCACTGCCTGCTGGGCAAGCCCTAGAGGCTCTCGGCAGGGGCATGCTTACTTCAGCGTCCCCACTGATCCAGAAGGGAGAGAGACTGAGAGAAACCACTCAGCTGACTGTGTGACTCAGGTTCTCTGCTTATGCTTTCTAGCAACAGTCTCTGAAGTGCAACATGGTGGCTACAGAAAGCTGAAAAGCTTTTTGCACTGTAAGCTATTCCTGATGCCTATTTGTCCTATGAAACAAAAAAATACAAGATCCAGCCACACTAGCATTGCACTTTACCAAGGCAGGACTCTTTTAAAACACCAGGGGTCTTTTTCTTCCTTGAGAGATGGAGAGACAATGAAACAAGGCTTAGGATCTGCCACAGAATAAGGTAGTCAACTAGTTTGAATTTTATGTAGTATTTTACAGTGCTAGCCTGTTGGGATTAACCAGCTGGACACCAGTGAACATTCATCCCATAAAGTTTGATTTCCTCCCTGCCATTGTATGCTTTTTTTTTAACCTGAACCGCAAACTTAGAAAATTGGCGGGAGGAGTTTACTTCTCAGAAGGAAAACTTCAAGCATCCCTGTTCACCATAAAGAATTAGAAATATTGCTTTGTGCTTTAAAACATTGCAGTGACTAGGCTACATGCTCTGCCTAAATAATTATGATGCGTTAATATGAAAATAAGTTGCATTATGTAATAGAAGATGGTTGGTTTTATGGTCTGAGCTGGGGGTCTGTTCTACGCATTTATAACAGTAGTGACTGAGAAAGCTAAGATAAAATTGGTAGCATACTACTTGGTAAGACGCTTTATTATTGGAAACCTTCTAGCCAGAAGGAAGGATCAAAAATAAGTTGTTGACTTCTATTAAACAAAAAGTCAGTATCAGAAAAGTCTCTTCTCAGATTTTATTCTTGTTTTTCTTTTCATTAGAATGGCATTAAGGCATCAGAGGATGCTGCAACAAGGGAGTATGTTCTCCACCGAGCAGCTTTAGCTTCCATTCAGAAAGCAACCCCACCAAACAACATGATTAAAAAAGGCACCAGATCCAAAGCATCTAAGAATCGCAGCAGGCATATGGAGTTTTCTGAGGTAACTGGTGGTTTCCATTCATCTTTAATTTCTCACATGTTGTCTGGCACACGATCAGCTTGTAAAGCATTTTTCTGAAAGTAGTATCTCCAGTTTGAAGTGCTTGTAACTCTTATTAGTATGGCTGCCAGATTTTGCTTATTGAGGCTATTTTAAGACAATGTCAGAAACTAAGTGGAGAATATTGATACACTGGGATGTTCTACGTCTTTCCCCACCCCCCCGGGTGTCTAGGTACCCTCAAAATGGCTTAGTGATTTTTTTTTTGGCTTACATTTTGGCTTGGATTAGACATGAAAATGTTTAATCATTTCCTCTTAGTTTCTATGGGCTTATAACGAATCACATGTTTTCCAGATAAGCAATCCCACAAAAACTGTCAATTTTGCTTCAACACTGATGGACAATTTAAAAAAAAAAAGACCAAAGACTAAATAGTTCTTTTTTAAAAATTAAACAAATGAATATTTCTCCTGTTCATTATATGCTTTTTTCCCAACTAATTATCTGACATTAAAATAGCTTTTTTAACTACGTATTTGTAGTGTGTCACACATTTGGAGTTACTGATAACTGCCAACAGCCTAGGTTTCCCTTCACCTTGTTATTTTTCTTAAACTTTTTTATTTCCCCACATATTAGTGCTGGTCTACATTGCGAGTGTCTTATAAGACTTTTAAAAATGTTTACTGAAAGTTTTGTTGTTTGTTAATAAGCAACAGATTTTCCTAACTAGAAAAAGTTTTTATACTCAAGCTTCAAAAGTCGTGTTCTGCAAATTGGTGCAATAAGAGAAGAAGATATAACTGCACTGGGAAGTATGATCAAGCTGCTCTAATACTACTATATAGTACTTTGTAGCATTAGGAATCTGAAAATTCAACTGTACAGTGAAGTAGCAGTCTAAATTTTTTTTATAAATACATATATGTCTATACACACATATTTAGATTATAGAAACATTTTGCTTTTAACAATTGAGTGATATAAGGTGTTATACAGGTCTATAATTTTCTAATGCTGAATGATTTTGAATGGTGAATCTGTTTCTGTGTCAAAAATGAATTAATTGGAGAGAAGTAGGAATTGCTTCCATTGGGTGTCTCAAGCCAAGAGTCCCACAGCTGAGATTTCTGGACACAGCATTGGTCACTTTTCAAAAATGTTAATGATTTAAATGGAATTCAGGTTTATTTTCTCTTTTTAAGTAAACGTTAACTAAATCACCATCCTTGGATGAGGTTTGGAGGATTCAGGAGGGCTGTTTTTCTTACTGCTTTGCATTTAGTCTGTCTGTCCTTTAAAATTTAAAGAATTTTAAATTGGCTACCTCTATTCCAGTCCAAAGTACCTGCAGTTATATACTGATTATTCCTGGTCAATCTCCATCAGAATTTGATACAGCCAGAATTAGGCTAAATTTGTAATTTATCTCTCTAGAGTAGGAGAAGTTATAATATGTTTTGTGGCACTTAGATAACGTCAGGGAAAGTTTGGGGTGTGTATTGTACCCTCCGCTCATGATTTTCTTTACACGCTTTTTCCAACAGGCTGCGAAGACCTTGAAAAACACTGAAAGCCTTAAAGTCTGCCATCGCTGTGGCTCACCTGCAAAGTATGACTCCTATCTACAAAGAGCGACGTGCAATCGTGAAAGTTGTGGCTTTGACTTTTGCACAAAGTGCATGTGCAGCTATCACAGCTCCAGTGACTGTATGAGTTGCAAACCAGTGAAACCCAACTCTAAGCTAGGGCCGCTTCCTGGGACTAAGAAAAGCAAACAGAATCTACGGCGATTGTGATCCATCCATCCCAATACAGATTGCCAGATGTCCCCAGAAGTTTTTTTAGGATATGAAGTTATCCACAAAGAAAATCAAACAAGAAAATGCTTTCTGCTATTCTATATTAAAAAAAGGGTTAATTTTATTATTCCTCTGTACTATTTTGTCGTGTTGAAATTCCTAGGAATCATCACAAATATCAATTTTAAAAAGTCTTACTAATCTATACATTTAAAAGAAAATTCTGGATATGGATTCTAATAACATTTTAAATATTGTCCTGACAATTTGTCTGTTGTGTTCCAGTCTTCAAAACACCCCACAAGAATATTGAACAAAACAAAAGTCTTGGCAAGTAGCCTTCCATGTGTAACCCTAGCAATTCTTGAATGCCAGAAGGGGGAAGCGTAAACGGTGTTTTATTTAAATGTTTACTCTTGGTCAAAAGTCTTTTAAAAGCATTTATAGTGAGAATGTCAAGTGAGGTGAGTGACATCCCTTTTAACATAGAATTATGAGGGAGTCTAGATTTTATGATTTTTTTCTCCAAGGCTTTGCCTTAATTTTAAAATGTGAAAGTTCATAATACCATTTTCTCTGATAGTTTACCTTATGTGAATCTTAACTTGTTGCTCTTCCTTCTTCATTCAGAAACTGCAGGTTTTCCTTGAACTGAGGTGATAACCTTTCCAACTTAAAAAAAAAAGTACTGTATCTTGGCTATACTGCTAAAAAAATACTTTGCCAGTTTTTTCCAAATAGTAAGATAATTTTTTTATATTTGTATATATTTGTAAATACTACTTTAAATATTATTCATGTTTGTCTTGTAAATGTGAAAATAAATTACTGTTCTCAACAACTTGGTTGGCAAATCTGGACTTCCTATTTATCATCCTAAAAGACTGCTTTTCATGCTCATTTCTCAAGTTTTCTAGTATGTGCTTCTTAAATGTTGATTTAACATTATGTTAACATGAACAGCAAATCTCCTGTTTTATGTAAAATGTACTGAATCCATTCCTGTGCTGCGTTCCTGCAGCTTACCTAAAGGCTCATAGCAGTAATTGCTGACAGTTTCTGAACCAACGCATTCAATGGAAAATTTTCTATTGGCTGAATTGATGTTGCTGTTGCAGAACTAGCTCACTGTCAGTAAAGTCTTGGTGATTCCACAGCAAAGAAAGGCAAGCTTTCAAGAAAAGGATTGATTGTGGAAGTGTTTGGGGTTTGGGTGGGGTTTTCCCGTTAGTAAGTAGATAACTGACTGGAAGGCAGCATTGTAGGTCCTGCTCCTTGAACTGGGACAGCAGTTGTATACTGCATGGCAACTTTTCCTGCATTTGTTAATTTTCTATTTGTGACAGCAGCGGTAGAAACAGTTGAGCAGGACCTCTAGCATTCTGCTTTTATGTGGCGAACTTAATCTCCTAACCTAAACCTGAGACTTAAAATAAGAGGCTGGCTGAGTTATATTAAGAACTTTCATTCCATAAATCTTTCGTCTATTTAAGTCCACTTATGGATGTGCTCAAGATCTGAGAATGAAAGGTAGAAGCCTTCCATCCTATTATACCTTGTTCTGGTAATTAGACCATACCATCTTTACCAACCAGTCCTGCAGGCCAGAAGGAGAATGGTGTTTGTATAGGAAGTAACAGCCCTCAACTACTGGATATTGGTATACTATTGAGTAGTATTGTCTCCAGCATTGTTTGTGAGACAAGGAAAAGGCAGTGGTCAGGGGCTTAATATGCATGCAACCACAGTGAGTCTGTTAGTAGGCTGTAGGCTGAGCAGAGATAGATAAGAAATATTTTAAGCAAAAGTTTGTTATAAAATTTTCACCTGTGTCTACTGACATTCCTGCATCCTGAAGAGCACAGATATCTTAATGTGATCTGGACAGAACTGCCCTTTTGTACATTGATTTTGAGAAATGTGGCACAGGCATCCACACTCGGACTGGTGTTGCAGAGTATGATACATCTTGAATTAAAATTTGTGTGGATGTTACAAACTTAGCAGGTTTACCTTTTCAGGTTTTGAGCTTACTAAGGGGAACTAGCCACTCTCTAGTAGGCCAACAATTTGTACATGGAGAGAGTAAAGAACAGCTGCTTGTTCATTTGTTTCCTGTAGAAATTTAGAATTTTGAGGAAAATTCCTTGTTACCTCCAGATAAGGGGGAAGAATTGGACTACATGGTTTCAGTGGTCACAACTGGAGATGAACAATATGAAGAAGCAGGCATTTTTCGCTAACTTCTGAGTGATAAGCGGCAACTACCTTCTACCTGAAACCTTGATGGAAAGGTCAGATTACTTGACTTCTAACGAAGCTTTGGCCAAGCTGTAATGGGTCTGCTGCAAACCGTTGTGGCTGTTTCTTTCCTCTTGCCCGACCATTTTTGTCTTATCCTGATCCTCAGACCCTTGCCTACCAGCTTTAGTGTTAATAATCAGAATAGATATTCAAGATCGCAGCCTTCAACAGGTGGGTGACAGCTCCTTAAGGACCTTGACCTGTTAACAATGCTTGCAATTTTCTTATCAAAATTTCTAGAGAGAAGTATGGGGATCTGTGGTGGCCACACAGCTATTTCTTCCTGTATGGTAATCTTGCCCAACAGCTGAAACCTTGCCCAACAATGCTGAGCACTGGACCTGAATAAAAACTATGCATCCTACTGAAAGCCACAGGATTGTTGGTCTCCTCATAAATAGCTTCAGTGAATGGTGTATGGCAGAAAAAAACAGAGTGGACAATCAGTCCCCACCCAGGCATGCTGGCATCTACTGCTGAGCGAGAAAGCAGCTCCTTACAGAGGGTGAGGGCACTGGATGTTAGTACTAGCAGGTGCCCCAACCAGTGCTGAGGAGAGTGATTTATGTGCCAAAGGTGGGAACAAAGTGGTAGATGCAAATTGTTGTTAATGTCTGTGCTGAGCCTATCTTGAACTTGCCTTTGATATGTAATCATGTGAGAGTCGTAGCTAGCGCAAGAGCATAGCATTTGCCATATGGAGATGAGTTGTCCCCAACTACTACAGCTGGGTTGTCAAAACCACTTTCAGACTCAACGTTTGGCAGCCCCAGTCACATTGCAGGAACCTGATAAGCTTCTTACTCACATTACATACGCCTTTCAGATCTACATGGGGTGATAAATGCCAGCAGGCTGACAGAGTCCCCTGCCTGGCTGGTGCAAGAGTACAGATTTCTCCCAGTTACTTGCTTATCTCCAGGCATGGCTCTGCGTGGTGAAGAAGGGCGGGATGTTTCTCTACTCTGTAAATTGCCGTGGCTAGCAGCCGTTCCCCCTGGCCTGAACAACTACGGAGCCAGAATATTCCTTAACTTCATGCTGGCCCTAGCTGGGAGGCAGGCAGAGGCAGGGGTTTAGGACTTTCTGAAATCAATGTTGAATATCCACATTTTGCAGCTCTTCTCTCTTGCACTTACAATGTTGTCCTGAAAAACCCAAGGAGCTGCTCGAGGTGCTTACATCTTTCTGCAAAGCATTAAAGGTAATCATCTCAGCTGTCCCACCACAGCGACCAGAGAAGCTGGAGAGAAGTGTCAGATAATGATGATTAATCTGACAATATAATCACTTGCAAAAACAAGGACCAGTCTGTATGCACTTATCAGTGTAATTTACCCTCCAGCAGCAGCCTTTGTGCTTTGAGGACTGTGGGACAGTCTTATCCCCCCGAGGATGGGAGGAACCAAAACAGAAGAAAAACCCCTCTTGAGCTCTGCAATTGCTGGCACCTTAGCACAGCACACAGCCTAGCTGTTCACCTCGGAGGACGTGTGGCAAAACTGCAGCATGTAGCCGATGTGCTGTCACTAGCCAAAGGCTCCACCGCAAAGAAGCGACATTTTAGCATGTTGAATGTTTTGTTTGACAAAAAAGTTTAAAACTCAAAGTTCGAGCAGTGATCACTCTCAAAAAAGCTCGGAATATTTAGTGGTAAAAATCATAGAATCATAGAATCATTAAGGTTGGAAGAGACCTCCAAGATCATCGAGTCCAACCGTCAACCCAACACCACCATGCCCACTAAACCATGTCCCTAAGCGCCTCATCTACACGTCTTTTAAATACTTCCAGGGATGGTGACTCAACCACTTCCCTGGGCAGCCTGTTCCAATCTTCAACCATTCTTCCAGTAAAGACATTTTTCCTCACGTCCAATCTAAACCTC